CTGCCCTAGAGACTGGTGAATTATTTTCTTCTATTAATCAACAGACATTAAAGTCACATGATATTTTGGATTCCAAAGGCAAGAACAGGTAATAACCAAAGTAAAATGGAACATTTATTTTCCTAGTATAAACTTCCACACCAGTTCTCAACAGAAAACCAGGGAAGGCTCTTCCTATAAATGAGGCAAATGGGCCAATTTCTCCTAGTTCCTATGAACTTTGTAAAAATCATACATTAAGATTCTCACCACTGAGGTCCCAGAGTCTTTACAGAGATTGTTTTTCAACACATAAATAAACATCGCCTCAAACCAAGTCAAGTAGCATTAGTCCTTAAGGAAAGTTAGGGAAGGAAATCATCCTACCTTCACAGGCAGAACTTCCACAGTTGTATTCAGCAGAATGTCCCCTGGGTGTTCTTGGTTACCACTATGGAACAAGTAACTGAAAATACAAACCAAATACGTGAGTCAGACAGTGCCTGACCTCAGAGTAAGCGCTTCTAAGCAAGAGTAGCTAGATGAAACTGACAACACTAGAATGCTACGGACCTGTGCATTGTGTAAAACAAACACACAAACAGCCATCAAGTGAATTCTGAATCGTAGCACCCCTACAGGGTAACTTTTGGGTTTGTGAGGCTGCAAAGCTTTTCAGGAGCAGAAAGCTGCTCTCCCTCAGGGCAGCTGGGGGCTTGGCCCGCTCACCGTACTGTTAGCAGCCCAGCTTGTAATCCATTATGTCACCAGAGCTCCGTGTTTGTTATTCTGATAGTTGTTTGGTACAATCAAGTTGGCTCTGACCCACAATGACCCTATGCACAGCAGAATGAAGCACGACACGGCCCGGTATCATTCTCACCGTTGTTCCGATGCTTGGGCCCATTGAAACAGTCACTATGTTGGCCTGACCCATGGGGGCATTCTTCTTTTCCGCTGCCCCTCCACTTTACTAAGCACGATGTCCTCCTCCAAGGACTAGTCTCTCCTGACGATACATCCAAATCAACTAGCTCAGTATGCAACACAGTCTTGCCATCCGTGCCTCTAAGGGGCACTCTGACCTTACTTCTTCCAATACTGATGTTTGTCCTTTTAGCAGTTCATGATACTTCAATACTGTTCTCCAGCACCACAAGCCAAATGCATTGATTCTTCTACTGTCGTCCTTATTCAATGTCCAATTTAAAGAAATGTAAAACCATAAGGTTACAGCCCCTAGGTGAAGTGTTAATTCCTCTGTCAGAAAAGGGCTCATTTGCAGTACCTAATATAGTATTATACAGGCAGGAAAATGATGACAGTGTCATGCCATTCTCTGTATTTTTAAGTATATAAACTTTTTGCCAGGAGAAAATCATAGGGATCAACAGCTTGGCAAAAATTTTTTTTTAGATTGACATCAGAAGCATGGCCATAAAAAGAAGAAACTGATCTATCAGACATCATCAACACCGAACCCCTCTGTTCTGCAGAGGCCCTGTGAGAAGCTGAGAAGCTAAGCTACAGTCTGGGGGGAAAGTCCTGCAACCACAAACTGGACAAAGGACTAGCATCCAAAATATATAAAGAATTCTTAAAACACAGGCAGTTAGAAATTAGGCAGACATCTGAACAGATCGCCTTTTTTAAAATGATGTAAGTACATGAAAGAAAATAAGCTCAATATCATTAGCCATTAGGAAAGGATAAATTAAAGTCATAATGGGTTATTAATACTCCCCATCAGAAAAGTGAAAATAAAAATAGCAGCAGCTTCAAATGTAGGCTATAATGTAGAGGCACTGATCACTCATATACTGTCGTTAGAACCAGAAAATGGTATGGCCACTCTGGAAAAGTCTGGCAGTTTCTTTGATTACATAAAAGAAGAAAGAAATGAAAACCTACACATCACTGCTCATCCAGCTGTACTTACGACAGGCCCCAAATGAAGTACCCTAGATTCCTTCGGGGGACCTGGGTAACAAACAAACCGTGCCACACCCACCCATGCCACGAACAGTGGAGGAATGTCCCGAGGCTGGTGCGAGTGAAAAATGCCAAACCTAACATCTACAGACTGTAGGACTGGATGTATTTTAGAAATGAAACAATTCATGGACATGGAGAAACAGAAGTAGTTCCCAGGGCTGGATTAAGGCACAAGGACTGGCAGGAGGCATAGGCATGGCTATCAGGGGAGCATGAAGGATTCTTGGGAGGATAGACGTGCCCTTCATGTCTTGACAGTCACCTTCCAATCCTGGTTGTGATATTTTACAGGAGTTTGCAAGCTGCTACTATTGGAAGGGACTGGGTAAGGTGCACACAGGATGTCTCAGTATCATTTCTTACAATAGCATGCCAATGTACAACTTCTCAAAATCAAAGCTACATTTTTTCCTAACAGTAAATTACTTCTTTGGGATGGGGGTGCATGTAAAATAAATGTAGCAAGTCCACATGAAATACTCCTATTCCACCACTATGAACTGTTTGATGCACGTATTTCTTCCAGCTTTATTCTATGTAACATGTGAATAATAATAATAGTTCTATTATTTCAACGAAAGCAGACTCGTGCTAGTAAGTTACATACTTTGTTTCCTTGATGTTTCTTCACATCAGTACATAGGGATCTATGACATGCTTTCAACAACTGCTCGTAGCACTCCATTGCATGGAGATGCATCATTTACTTTGCCATCTATGTTATTTCTACTTGTATGATGTCCCTGTAAGTGTGATAAACAATACTTCAAAGTGAACAGTACTACTGTATGGTATGAAAGGTGAACATTAGGTAATAACTAGCAGATACTACATATTCATCCATGTGCACAAGCATTTTATTATGTTTCACCAGTGATATTCCAATTGCTTACAACAATTTCACTATTTAAATTCCTCTTTGGAATCCATTTAGAGCAACAAAAGAAAATTAGTGACATTCCGTTAAAGTTAAGTTTTGTTTCTTACCACATTAAGTGGAATTATTCCAAAATATTTTGGAAGATTTAAAATATCCAATTGGTCCTCACATGAGGACACATAAAATAATATTCTGCAGGTCTTCTATTCTGGGGATTACATTTAGTGTGCTTCAGAAAGACCATGGAACACACCCAGGGACTGAGGAACAAATGGAAGGAATCAAGACTGCTTGAATAAAAAAACAGGAGCAATGCCTATGTTTGAAAACTGAGAATCTATGCTGATGACGATTCCAGGGTTTAAAAATCATCTGCATTTGCAAAACAGCTGACTTGAGGAGTTGTCAAACGGTCATTCCAACCAAACTTCTGGGCTAGTCAACTAGATCTTAGTCAAAACGTAAAGGATGTCCTAGAATAAGCCCATGAAAACTAATTTAAGATTCTGAGGAAATGTGCTAAGTAAACATTTTAGAAACCATACTGAATATCAGGGAGCCCCAGTGGCAATGAGGCTTAGGCACTGCCCTGCTAAATCCCAAGGCTGCCTGTTCGAAACCAGGAGAAAGCTGGGCTATCTGCTCCCCCAGTCAGTTACAGCTCTGGAAACCCTAAACAGGGTCTCTCTGCGCTAGAGTTGACTCAGTGGTAGTGAGTTTGGTTTGGGTAGATTAAGCATCAGTTCAGAACTACCAGTAACATCTCTCAAACACGGTAAATAATGCTGATATCACATCTGAGAACAATTCACCCATTCTATCATCAAGTTATTCTCAATGTAACTCATAACAACATTTTGGGATCCACTGCCACCTTACATCTGTTATACCCCAAAAGTTGCATCATCTTCAAGCCTATAGAACCCCAGATTCTATATCCTTTGATAGCCGGACACCATCAGCTTTCTTCAATTTGCTTAGGTGCCCGCTTTGTCTTCAGCGATCCTGTCGGGATAGGCTGGTGTGCGTCTTCTATGTGAGCTTTGTTGTTTCTCAGCTAGTTGGCCACCTGTTTATCTTCAAACCTTTAAGACCCCAGATGCTATATCTTTTGATAGTCAGGCACCATCAGCTTCTTCATCGCATTTGCTTATGCACCAGCTTTGCTTTCAGCGATTGTGTCGGGACAGGCTGGTGTGCTTCCTCCATGTGGGTTTTGCTGTTTCTCAGCTAGATGGCCGCTTGTTTACCTTCAGGCCTTTAAGACCCCAGATGCTAAATATTTTGATAGCTGGGCACCATCAGCTTTCTTCACCACATTTGCTTGTGCACCCATTGTCTTCATGCCAGAAAGGTGAGCAATTGTGCCAGAAAGGTGAGCATCTCAGACTGCCGAATCGTTAGAACAAACTGTTAGAACAAAGTATTCCTGTGTTGAGGGAGTACTGAGAAACAACAAAGCCCACATGGAAGAAGCACACCAGCCTGTGAGATCACGAGGTGTCAAAGGGATCAGGTATCAGGCACCAAAGAACAAAAAAATCATAGCATTGTGAACGAGGGGGAATGCAGAGTGGGGACTCAGGGCCCTTCTGTGGGAAATTGGACATCCCCTTGCAGAAGGGTCACAGGGAGGAGTCAGTCAGGGTGCAGTGTAGCAATGATGAAACATACAATTTTCCTCTAATTCTTGAATGTTTCCTCCCCCCCACAATCACGATCCTAATTCTACCTTACAAATCTGGCTGGACTGGAGGATATACACTGGTACAGATAGGAACTGGAAACACAGAGAATCCAGGACAGATGAACCCCACAGGACCAGTGGTAAGAGTGGCAATACCAGGAGGGTGGAGGGAAGGTGAGGGAGAAAGGGGGAACAGATTATAAGGATCTACATATAACCTCCTCCCTGGGGGATGAACAAAAGAAAAGTGGGTGAGAGGAGACTTTGGATAGTGTAAGATATGACAAAATAATAATTTATAAATTATCAAGGGTTCATGAGGGAGGGGGAACCTAGGAGGGAGGGGGAAAAATGAGGAGCTGATGCCAAGGGCTTAAGTGGAGAGCAAATGTTTTGAGAATGATTAGGCAATGATTGTACAAATGTGCTTTACAAAACTGATGCGTGTTGGGATTGTGATAAGAGTTGTATGAGCCCCCAATAAAATGATTAAAAATAAACAATGGATGTAGGTATGGATTGTGATAAAGAGTTATATAAGCCCCAATAAAACGATTTAATTATTTAACAAAGTTGCATCATAAATCATTGTGAACAAGAAGTTTGAAATTACACAACAAATATAATTTCAAAATCACCCACCTTTCAACATTGACTGGCTTATCAAATTTAAACAAGATGTAGTCTCCTGCTACCGGAGTGATAGCCCAAAAGAATGCCTCTCCCATGTATGTTTTCTCCAGTGTATGTCCTTGGTAGATCTTCATGGACGTAGAGACTTCTGCAGGTGGGTTCACATGCATTTTAAGAAGTAATGGTTTCATGTAATCTTTATCCTGGGAGAAAAGACATGCCTGGTGTTAACTACCCTACGCAGCTTACGTACATTTAAGAGAAAACTCAATACTTACACGGGGGTGGGAGGGAGATTTTAAAAGTTTGTGGGAGAAATTCTACTATCTTTTAAATTCACTTTTCCACAAACTTTTTCAAGCTCCCCTTAGACACTAAATTAACAAAATGTATTATCCATGAGGAAAACAAACTTAAATCACTCAC